CCCCCCCGCCGGCCCCGCTCCCCTCGGGCATAGCCAGCCCCGCGGGTGTGTTGTCTCTTTGGTCGCACATTTTGGCCGAGATATATTTCCACCCTTGCACCGGCCGGTCCCTGCTCCCTGCCGGCCGGGGAAGTTCGTCCGGCGATTGGGCGCGTCCTGGGTTCAGTTTCCCCGGGCTCCCTGGACACATGTGTTGTGGGGCGCGCGCGCGCGCGGGGTCGGGAACCCGCCGCCCCAGCGGCGGCCCCCCCCCCCCCCCCCCGGGCCCCGGGAGCGCGAGGGGACGACATGAACCGGACACTGGCCGCGGCGCTCGAAGCCCCGGCGGGTCGCACGAAGAAGACTGGCGCTGGCCCATGCGCCCCAGTGAGAGGGCCGCCCGCGGCAGACAGCAGGCGGCCTCCACAATCCCCCGCCCCTTCCCCCTGCAAGCTGCGCCGATCACTAGCGTCGTTCCGCCACGCGCTGTTGGGAGGATGTGCCTGCGAAGGCGCGAACTTTTCCGCCCCGGCGCCAGGCCGAGCGGGGTTGGGGGCGGTCCAGGCTGGCCCCCTGCCTACACCGCCCTCCCGCCCGGGGGGGGGGGGGAGGCGGGGGCGCGGACTTGATCGTGTTCCGCCGCCACTCAGGCGGCAGGGCGCATTCTCTCCCTCCCCGCCCTTTCTCCCTCGCTCCTTCTCGCTCCGGCTCTCCCGCCGGTCCGGTCGGTTGCCCCCTACTCGCAGGAGCTCCCAGGCCCACCAGCTGTCCGCGCCCTGGCGCCGGGGCACAGGAAGCCGTCGCCCTCTTCTTGCCAAGCATCGACGCTCGAGTGATCGCCCCTCGCGATCCGCGGGGCGTTTTCACACTGGCACCCCACCGAGGGTGGCCATGCTCCCCCGAGCTGCATTAATGATGTTCGTACGCCTCTGGTGGATGCGTCCCTCGCGCGAGTGCGGTGCCCGGGCCCACACGTCCGGGCTTCCGAACAACAGACAACAAGCAAGTGGGCGCCCCCCGGGCGGGGGGAGGGGGGGCGGCAGGGCGGATTACATATGGGGTCCTCCCCCCCCCAAGGGTCTGATTGCCCACGATCCATGCCTCTCTGGGTGTGCTATCGCGTCCCAAACGGCAGTAAACACTCTTCCGTCGGGGTCTGCCCCGCTCCCCAGCCGGGGCGGGATATTGTTTGGGGCGACCGCCCCCCCCCCGCCCCGGTCGATCACCCCCTCGACCGCACGCCCACCCCAGGCTTGCGGCCACTTCCCGCGACCTCACCTCAGCACCAGATGCCCGCAGGGAGAATTACCAGCCGGCTGCCACCTCCCTCACGGAGCCCCCAGCCTTGTTGGCCTTGTTCCCCCAATGTTTCGCGCGGCCCCCCCCCCCCTCCCCCCCGCCCCCACCCCCCTTGGGCACGTTCCGAGTCACTCAGATTCTGGGGACGACTAACAGGCCGCCGGCGCCGCCAATCGACTCCCCAGGTCACTGGCGTCTGGATGCCCGCACTCGAGCGGGCCCACACGCCCCAGACGGGCACCGTTGTCAAGAGGCGGGTTACATTCCAGTTAATACATGCGCAAGAAGCATCACGCCCATCCCCAATGTTGTTACGAGAGTAGAGCTACAAAATCAGAACACCGGTCCTTTTTCCTCCTCACCCGACTGCGGTGCCGGCGGTCCCCTGCTGCCCCGCCTGTTCGGGGCCTTTTCATGCCACCCTCGAGTCGACGGGCCAGGGGGAGAGCCGTTTGGGGGGCCGGCTCGCAGCATCATACGCCTGCTGGTGTCCCGAACCCCGAAAGGGTGAGAGGCGTGAAAAGGTCCGGCTTTTCATGTGTGTTATTTTTTCCCCCGCCCGCCCCGAAGGAGAGGACGGAACTAGACTCCAGGGGTGTTGTCCCTTGAGGCCGCCCCTCTGCTTCGGTCGTGGCGCAGTTGTTGGCGCTCGGTGCTCGGCGCTCAGCGCGCGGCATGCGCGTCGGTCCGCCCATGCCTGCACAGGCTGGGCCCGCATGCGGGAGACACATACTCCAGCCAGGCGAAACCAGTCAGGCCACCGGGCTCCGTGCCTGGCCAGGCCGCAAGCCAGGCCAGGCGATCCGCCTGCCTCCCCTCCGCGTCCCCAGGGAGGCGCGACGGCCGAACCTGCCCGGCTCGGGCATCTGGTGACATTTGTCCTTTTTTTTCCTTCCCCAGGTGGCACATCGACCGCTCGCTGGTCTGACCGGGATGACTTATTCCGTTAGTTTGGCCTTGCGCTCGCGTGTTTGCCCGTGTGCATGCACACCGGCGCCTGCTTCGGGGAAAGCCAAGGGACGTCTGCCCCGGCTGGAGGAGGCCAGACCTGGGCCTCGGGCCCGATTATCGCTCTTTCAAATTGAACGAGCTGTCCTTTCGGAGGCCCATCCCGGCCCCGATCCACGGCTTGCGCCCTGGTTCCCGGGCCCTACCCGTCACTCTGGGACACCGCCATTTCGCCCAGGGGACACCCGGTTGGGCGGAGGGGGAGGGAGGCACCGCACGCGCAGTCCCGTCGACAGTGCGCTTTTTGCGCTTCGGCGGCCGGGCTTCCTCCTTCCCGGGCCAGGTCCCCGGGGGGGAGGGGGGGTGGGGTGTGGGGTGTGTGGGGGGGGGGGTGGTGTGGGGGGGGGGGGGGGGGGGGGGGGGAGGGGCCAGAGGGGCGGCTGTCCTTGGATCCCCGGGCGATGGCTCAAGAGGCTCCGTTGCCGGGACCCCATTCCCGGCCGGGGATGGGCAGCACCCGACCTTTTTTCACGGCTTGATTGTATATCTGCTGTCTCCTTTGCCCCCCCCCCCCCTTCCTGCACATCCATCTTCACCATGTTTGCCCGCTCGCTTGTCCGCCTGGCTGCGCGCTCCCCCGCCGGCGCCGTGCGTTCCTCCTCCCGTGCCCGCCCTTGTTGGCGGCTTTGACACTTGTCACCGCCATCGTCTTCCTCTCTAACCCGCACATCCCCATAGACCGCCTCCTCCACCGCCACCGCCACCGCCGCGCGTGCCTACTCCAGCTCTGGCCTGTGCTTCGACCTGACCGACGAGCAGCGCCAGCTCCAGGAGACCGCCCGTCGCTTCGCCGCCGACCACATCATCCCCAATGCCCGCGAGTATGACCAGAGCGGTGCGTTTCGTGTGGCGCTTCACCTTGCACATTGGTGGTTCGCCCGTGCCCCCCGCTCCCCCTGTTGCGCGCCCTGCACTCAGTGCTGACTTATCCTATCCCCCCCCCCCCCACCCCCCTCCCGCAGCCAAGTACCCTTGGGATATCGTCAAGGCTGCCTGGGAGACCGGCCTGATGAACACCCACATTCCCGCTGAGTATGGTGGCCTTGGTCTCGGTGCCCTGGACGGCGCCATCCTCTCGGAGGAGCTGGCCTATGGCTGCTCCGGTATCTCCACCGCCATCGAGGGCAACAACCTGGCCGAGGCCCCGCTCATCCTGGCCGCCAATGACGAGCAGAAGAAGAAGTATCTCGGCCGCATGACCGAGGAGTGCCTGATGGCCGCGTACTGCGTCACTGAGCCCGGTACGTGCAGCACGCGCACCGGTCTCATCTCCCCGGCTTTTCCGCCCCCCCCCCCCCCCCCCCCCCCCCCCCCCCCCCCCCCCCCCCCCCCCCCCCCCCCCCCCCCCCCCCCCCCCCCCCCCGCCGACGCCGTTGACTGCGGCATTCCGGGACATGTCCACCCTGCTCTTTCTGACATCCTCCTGCGCACTCCTGCTCCCCCAGTTGCCGGCTCGGATGTCGCTGGCATCAAGACCACTGCCGTGAAGAAGGGCGACGAGTGGGTCATCAACGGCCAGAAGATGTGGATTACCAACGGCTCCGTGGCCAACTGGTACTATGTCCTGGCTCGCAGCGACCCGAACGCCAACGCCGGGCGCGCCTTCACCTGCTTCATCGTCGACAAGGACACCCCGGGTATCACTGTCGGCCGCAAGGAGATGAACATGGGCCAGCGGTGCTCCGACACCCGCGGCATCACCTTCGAGGATGTGGTTGTTCCCGATTGCAACCGCCTTGGTGCCGAGGGCGAGGGCTTCAAGGTACGTCCTTCCTTTCCACCCAGTGTGCTCGGTGCTCGCCCCTCGCCCCACGGCGTTCAAGCATGCCTGGCGGGGGGCGCCCTGCCCCTTTTGAAGCGCCTAACACCCTCCCCCTCCCCCTCCCCCCCTCCCCTCCCCCTCGCCATCGCTTCCATCGACCTCTGCCTTTGCCACCCATCCCGACAGATCGCCATGGGTGCCTTCGACATCACCCGCCCGCTGGTTGGCGCCGGGGCTGTCGGTGTGGCTCGCCGTGCCATGGACGAGGCGGCTCGCTATTCGCTCGAGCGCAAGACCATGGGCAAGCCCATCTCCGAGCACCAGGCCGTCGCCTTCATGCTGGCTGACATGGCCATTGGTGTTGAGACTTCCCGTCTGGCCGTCTGGCGCGCTGCCTACGAGATCGACCAGGGTCGCCGCAACACCTACTACGCCTCCATTGCCAAGGCCCTGGCCAGTGACGTTGCCAACAAGAACGCCACCGATGCCGTCCAGATCTTCGGCGGCAACGGCTACAACACCGAGTACCCGGTGGAGAAGCTCATGCGTGACGCCAAGATCTTCCAGATCTACGAGGGCACCTCTCAGATCCAGCGCATGATCATCTCTCGCCTGCTTCTCAGCAACTACTAAGCGCACATGTGTGTGTGTGTGTGCGTGTGTGTGTGTGTGCGCGCGTGAATGCGTGTATTGCGCAGCACTCCGCATGTCTCGCTGGGACCTGCCTCTTCTTCCTTTCTCTCCCCCCCTCTCTCTCTCTCTTCGTTGACTGCTCTGTGTCCAGCTTGCTCCCAAGTCTAGGGCCTGCCGCCCCTCCCTCTTGAGGCGAAGGGGGCGGAGTGCGGGGGAAGCCTGAAGAAGGGGACAGTGTCTTGCGATTCCATCCATTGCGCCTCTCTTTCTTTGCACATCCTGCGTCACAGCCCCACGAAGCGTTCTGCCCTGTGCTCTTTTTGCGCCTCAGCACCATTGGCGAGGTGCCGAATTTGGACAGGGAGCTGATGTGTTCCCTGAAGGATATGCTCCTTTGCAGGCGCTGGTCGTCTCCGTTTTATCGCTCCACATATGGTTACATGCCTGAGTATCGTTGCAGTATGTGTGCTCACGCAAATGGGCACCGACCTCAAAACCGAAAATACAAAATCCCCTCTCACTCTTCCTTTTTTTGTTCCCTGCTGCTGAATGTATGCACGCCCTTTTCCATCTCCTCTCCGTGGAATTCCTACTGGATGGGTGTGGATGAACGTGGGTTTCAATTTTGTAGTATTCATGTG